GCTTGTCTTTTCTACTTTTGTAATATTTAACACTCTTTTTAAACTATGAACGGATGCAAAAAGTAGCTAGGATAATACATTATAGAAAGATGACGATAAAGTTTCAATATTTCCAGCAGAGAAATCGAGCATAATGTGTGAAAGATGATATTTAAGCAGTAAAATATTGGTACTGTTGACATCATAATATTTATTGGAAGACGTTGGATTTGGCACGTTAGAGTAGTTCAACCAACCATCATGCTTGTAATAAAAGGAAATACAAGTTGATGGATGGTACGAATCGGATAGCGATTTAAAACTACTTCCGCGAAATTGGCAAAGCAAAGATCTAGTAGCCTGTCATTATAAGTAGGAGTAAACTACGATCAAATAATTCATTGAAAACCACAATAACTGTATTCATACTTCCAGAATTATCACAATAACACCAAGTGAGTTATGGCCAACGCCTTGAGTCTATCAGTAGGTTTAGACTGCCGATATGGCAATTAATACACTACTACCAGTGCGACCCAATCGATCCTTTCCGGAATGCTAAAAAGTGTTGTGAAAAAGTTCCGACGAACGTAAATAAGGTCTTAAGTTTCAGTGAACACCAAGGAGAGAAACACCGTGCTCACTGAATTTAGAAAAGTGGAGGGAATTTTTGAGTTTGGGCTCCTTATATTGCGGAAAATTAGATTTACTGGGCCCGAAGAAACATTTAGTTTTTAAGGGTGGAAGAGCTGCCGAATTACTATTACAAGATCGATCCAGCGGAATGAATTCCTTAATTAAGGATCCAATTGGCCACAATTATTTGTTTAACAACATTTTCAGTTTTTCAGTTGGAACTAACACTTTAAAAGATCACATTACCGTAGGCTGAGATGGAGCCAATTTGAAAATGCTTACGCGCTTCAAATTGATCGATGGCACTTTTGCATCCGGATAACTTTCTACGTTATCCTCAGAGGTCTTGACAGTCTTGACGCGAATATTGCCTTTCTGGTGGGTACAGACGTCAAGGTAATATTACCCCTACCAGGAACAATAGGATTCGCAGGTAGAGAGTTCTGAGAATTCTAGCGAGAATAAAGAGGACATGATCACACTTGCCTTTACAGCTTGGCGACTTTCCCAGCAGACACACCCCAACAGTCAGAGGAGAGGCGAATTTCTCATTTTTATAAATATTTTTTAAAGATGTACCCAGAGTAACCTGAATGCCACCACTGGGGGGAGGCACAGTTGCCACTTCACCATAGCTAGGAAGAGGAGGGCTACCCAGCTCATTTAAAACTTTTTTATTACCGGCCGGCTCAACAATAGCGAAAACGCTAACTTTCTTTGTAGGCAAGAAAGGAGTACTCAGATGAGTCGACGAATCAGATTTAGACGACGGAGATGAAGTACCACACGCCACTCTACGAGATAGTAATTTACAGGCTAGGGCAGAAGATGAGTGTTCTAGAAAATAACATTCATCGAACATTGTCTTGATTTTTTCACACTTTCCACACGAAGTAAAAAAGTTTTTGCTCAATTCAGGAAACCTATTCTTTATCTCTGTGAACAGTCAATATCACGCTTTCTACAGCCGGGACATGACCAATGCAAACCTTTCGAAGGATCAAGGACTGTACACTTTGTATGACGAAAACATTTTCAAAGTCATCAATTGATGAATCTTTCAGATTCAGGGTCCGTAAACTTCACAATATTAAAAAAAAAATTAATAAAGGGCAAGTCAAGAGAAAAATAGTAAAGTAAAAAAAAAAAAAGCGAGACTTATTAACGAGAGCATCTAGTGCTGACCCCAGAAATCGAATCGCATATCATAAAAAAAGGTTCAATATAATTCAATCAGTTTAATCAATTCAAGCGCGTATAAAGCAATAAGATATAAAGATAAATTGCAAAATATCTTCACACAAAATAAAACATTGCGACTACAGCGCGTGCGCAGAGTTGCTAAGGTAATGTATTAATGTTTACATTAAAAAGGGCAAAACATCTCATTTCTATAGAAAGGCTGAACTTTAGTAATGCGTCGCTAAGCAACCATTTCTATGAACGGCGCTATGTAATCAACTACGACTACGAACATTTTTATTAGCGATAAATAAAATTCGTTGGCTTTGTTACCAACAGAGGCGATAAAATAATTATAATTTTCTTTCTTTCAACGCTGCGGATGTACTTAATTAATTGATTACATATGCATAAGATATAAATTGAAATCCCTCCAGAGGCAGGTGACATCAAATGAAATAAGCAAACGCGCGATTATCGCCCGATTTTTTAAGCCTTCCCTTAACCTTTCCATAACAATGCATTATTAACTGAAAGAAACGTAAAAATTGGGGGCCAAACTGACGCTTATTTGTTTTGTACAAGCAAACTACATATGGTAAAAAACAAGCATGTAGAATGAAATGCATAGAAAATTATGTAGAATTTATGTTAAGCTATATTTAGCTTAATTTGGCTCGGTATTCTAAAAAAAAATTGTACATGCTTTCACCACTTTTTTTTCTTTTTTTCACAATTCACAAATGCCATTTCGAGCACATTTTATTTTTTTTATTTTTTTTTAATTTTTGAAGTAATAATTCATTCTTTGACAACTATTTATATATTTTTTTTGCAGCTGCTTCTTTACAAACGCAACTCTAAAGGAGAGAGTAACTAACGGTAACTAACTAACCAACCACGCGATGAAAATGACCTTTTATTCTACAACAATACGAAAATTGATGATGTGTGTAAAAGGCAAAAACAATTTTTGTGTACGAAAGAGCGGGTTTACATTTGGTGGCGATTCTATTGAATTGAAGGAGCCAAAAACAATTTGTGGGTACGAAAGAGCGAGTCTGCATTTGGTGGCAATTCTGTTGAAATGAAAGAGCGAGTCTGCATTTGGTGGCAATATTTAATAAATGCATTGTTTTGAATCTCCGTTGTCAAAACGTGATATTTTTGATACTTGGTTGTCATATGCAAATAAAAACTAGCTAACGGTTTTTTCATCAAGTCAAAAAACTTTCTTTCGAATTGATGCGTGAAAATGTGTGAAGAAGAGCAATTTACATAAAAATTTGACAAAGATAAAATTAAAAAAAAGAGACAAATAGGGGAATTTGCAAAATTTAAAAATCTTGCAACAAAATGCATTAATTAATGATGTGAAATTTTTTTGATGAATTTGTTGGAATTCATTTCCACCACCTTTTCGATGTCTTCAACGTAAACGTGAGTGTATTTTCTTAATTTTTATTATTTAAACAAACAATTGGAGTTGAGGGAATTGAGCTTTTATGTAACGAACTTGCGTATTTTTAGAACAAAATTCCACTCTTCATTTCACAAAAAGACGAAGGTTTTTACGTACAATTGGCATTGTAACCACCATTTGCACCATTGGTAATTGGGATTATAACACATAAAAAAGTTTATAAGCTAATAAGTGTTGCAGCTACATTGGTGAAGTATTTGTTCTGCAGTGGTAACCATTCGATTTTTAAGGAATTATGGATGCATCACGGATTTATAATGATACAAACTCAACTAAAGCACAAAGTGACTTTGCTTGTTTTATATTCAATACTAATGTAATTTTTTTCTCAACTACTACTACTGTCGTCAGAAAATAGGGTAAAGAATTATCATTTTTTAGAAAATAGGGTAAAGAAAAAGATCTCGTCTATCCATCCGCAGAAGTATGAACGGGTGAGCGCATGAGGGGACTTGTGCAGCATGGTGACCAGCGAAAACACCCGAACAGGGGGAGAGTCGGATTTGTTATTATTGCCGATAATCTTTGGAGACGTAAACAGAGTAGCCTGGGTGGCTACCTAAAGCGAGAAGGTCTTCACGGCCCTAACTTTTTTGTTGCCGGCCGAATCAACGATAGCCGAATCGTCAGAGTTAACGTAACTGAGAGAGCGTATTTGGTGATAATCACCAGCAAATTTGCCCACGTTGGATTCTCTTAGCGATTATCCTGTGCTTACATGAATACCCTTTAAATTTTTATCGGCAAAACGAGGTATTGCCAATTTACCTTGTCAAAGCGTCTTTCGAAGTCATATTTTTGATCTTCGAATTAGATTAACATACTCATTACATGCGCCAGAGCCGTATCCTAAAGTACTTAACATAAATACATAAATAAAAATACACTTAAACTACAAAGTCAAACAAAATGAGAAATGGTTTTGATTTTTTCAACTGTTTATGAGGCGTCACACAGATTAGCAATTAATGTATTTGTTTTTAAGAAAGAAATGAAGATGATACATGTAAAACGTAAAAACGTAAAACGTATCTTTAGTATTTGATTTCTGCATTTCATTATTTTAAACCTTTTGCACATTCTCTAACTTAAAATTTTGATGTACACATCGCTTGCTAAAAATGGACAGTAACAACTAAAGGCGATATATTTCAAATTTAAAAGTTATTTTTCAAGTTTTATTGCTTTTATTGCATTACTTCAAAAACTATTTTCTAATTTTGGTGTAGTCGATAGAAGCAAATGAGTTTTTAATTATTGATTTCGCTAATCAACGATAATAGTTATTTACTTTTACGTTAATTTCCCTATTTTTCATGTGCTTGTAATGGTTGCGTACAATAATGTGTGATATGCTCTTTTTCAGTTCTCAAACATACGCGGTTAAAGCCGTAGAAAGCAAAGATAAATGTTTTAAATGAATTAATTTTACGAATAAAAAAAAACACGAGTATAATTGCACCCAAACCATCTTAAAGTTGATCGTAAGCTTGTCATCATAATGAAGCTTCGCTTATAAAAGTAGCACTTGCCTGGCTAACCAAGTCATTTACAAAATAAAAGTACACAAATCTATATGAATATATATAACTAACATAAATAATTATGCATAACTTTAATATAATAAATAAATAATTTATTAAAATATATTTTCCATTTCCTGTAAAATAACGAAATTTCGTAAAATATAATATAAAAAAGCGTTAAAATAATGTAACATGAAATACAAAATTAGGTAAATACATTTTCAATTTGAGATAACCTGTTTATATTTCTCCGATATGTTAAACTATGTAACGCAGTCCACGAAAAACGCGCACAGTTTCTGCAAACAACGACCGCAGTATTCCCGAAAAACGCTTCAGTTTCCACAAAAAAAGTAGCAGGTTTCACGACAATTGCATGTGCATCGAATTCCCTTCTTTATTTCGTAAGTCAATCCTTGTGTTTCGTTTTTTCATGTGCGGATTTACAAAAAAATTGCATTTTACTGGCGTTATTAATAGAAACATGACAATAATATCGTTCATATGATTTCTTCTTACGCCTGTGTGGAACCTAAGTATAATGGATAAAAATAGCACCATAAGAAGAAGATAGAAATGTCAACAGCGAGACCATTCGCTGCGAAAGAATATAATAAATTTATGCAGGTATAGATATGTCTGATCCTATGGTAACAAATTATCCGCACACCACGAAAATTTTACCGCCCTTTTTTGTTGCTTTTCAATTTTTAAGTGAATCCTTTATCACTATAATGTCTCTCCTGAAGTTTAAAGCATCAACAGCTACTTTAATGATAAAAACATGTAAACGAGCCAAAAGACGAAGTAGACGTATAGATGTATTTGAACAGCCACTTAAAAAGCCAATAACTGCACCAAAGTTACTCTTGAAATTAAACTAAAAGGTATAAGAAGCAATACAAAAATTATGGACTCAAAAGCCCTCCAAGATGTCACGACAAAAATTGTGTAAGGCGAACACGTTGCGAATACGTTACGAACACATTTGTGAAAAACATGAAGGACCGGTACGCCCGAAATGTAAGGAATCATTTCACTCAGAAATTACCACAAACGTTCAGCGGTCACATAAGTCAAAGTCTATTTTTTGAAAATTTTTATTGTTTTCCGCACTTTTTTCGCTTATTAAAGTACTTTTAATGTGAAATTAATAAACCATATAAAAAATATATATCTCGAAAAAAAAGACCAAACTGCGCTAAATAAATGTATAAGACATTATCTATTTTTGATCCACCAGACAAACCATGGCAATATTTTGGGAAATTTGTAAGAAAAATTTAAATGTGATACTGCTAGACGTATCTTGCGTCTTCAAGACTTTTTTTTATTAAAAGAGTAATAATGTAGAATTTTCTGGTCGCGAATATCACATCATTTGTGGGCACTCGCATGTTTGCTAGTAAAGTTAAGAATTTCTACAACATTTGCATTAATCTATGCTTGTTATAATCTAAGATTGAATGTCTCATTTTCTATTATTACTACTCCTACATTGTGTAAATTGCATCAGGGTGTTATTGATATGATTACAGCCTAGAGATTTTTATTATATGTTATTATTAGCTCCATCATTCTGGGAGAGATTTTGCTAAGATAATTGGTTTGTCGCTAAACTTGAGTTTATACTCCCACAATTTCTTGTACCATAGCAGACACAGCCTCTTTTTGAGCAGAACCACTGGGATATCACTACCTATACGTTCCCGCTGAACAACGGTAGGAGCGATCCTATCATTTTTTACTGCGATTTTCATATCCTAAGGTATAAGGATAAATTTCGGGACTGCAAAAACCATGAGGTATTTGTGGCCAATAATAACGTAGTAGTGATGATCAGAATAAGGCGGTCAATTTTAATTTTATTTTATTGGTAGCTCTTAAAAAATATATAAACATAGTAATTTGTATTTTGCACTGAATGTACATTACAAAACGATTTGAATGAACTTAAATATGTTATACAAAATGATTTTTCTAAACTGAACAACTATTAAAAATGAAATATTGATAAAAAAATAATTCGTTTATTTATAAAATATACGTAAGCAGTTGGAAAATCTTCTTAAATATTTTAAGTACCGCGGCGTAGGATTGTTACTTTCGTTACGTTCCGGTTTACTCTTTTTGAAAATATACGGCATTTTACAACGCTTTATAAGTCTGCAAACGATTTTTTACCCAAAAAAAATTGTAAACACAGGAACTTATCTTAGTGGCAGCATAGGAAAATCAACTGTCATGAGAATTAAACCGCATGAAATTCTGCTAACGTGAAAATAAGTAAATAGAGAATGTATTTTTATGAAGACATTTATAAAACAGCGTAAAAAGAACACGGATTATATTAAAAAAAAGGGAACTTAAAAGGCGACAATAGATATATTTCGATGAAAATGAACAGAAACATCGACTTGTTTGTCTTAATTAACACGTAATTTCTTTCTTGTATTTTAATAAATTTACCTGCATTACATCTGTGTTCCTATTTGGTATAGATACCAATTTCATCAAAGAAATACTTATTAGATGTTATGTATTGAAAGATAACAAATCAATGAATAATAGAATCCAAACTCATATTTCTGCAGTTCTTCGAAGGAGCGCTGTATAAGATGGAAAAAGGTTCGTATCACTATGTTTTTGGACCAAAAAGATAATTTTCTTTATATATAGCAACACAAATAAAAATATCAGGTGATTTTCAGAATGTGTGGCTTGTGAAAAAGCCACTAAAACTAAAGAAGAGAGTAAAGTCACGTTTGCTCGTTAACATCGTATGGGAAAGTTTTTTTTCTCAATAATTTATATAGGCTTTAAGAATAACATTTTCTTTTTTTCCTTTTACTTTCGCTTTCTTGAGTTATTTCGTGTTAAAAATAAAATCGCACTCTTGTCATTTTAGTGTAAAAAATTTGTTATGTGCCTTGAAAAAATAGCGGTGCATGGGTAAAAAAAAAGTGCAGTTGCAAAATACGACATACGGTAAAAACAAAAAGGCCTGCAAGGGAGAAGTTAGTTTGATTGACTGGTTAATCTAACGACAAGATGTGGACAATTTTAATAAATGTCTTTGTCGTCCGTTCCATTTACATGGAGAATTTAAAACTTACCTAATTTTTGCAAAGTTGGGCAGTTTTAATTAATATTTGAGATAATATAATTTAAAAAAAAATGTTAAGTATTAAACGTTACGGCTTAAATCGATTGAAATTTCTTTATCATGTTATTTTATAATTATTCTTGACATTGATTTTTGTGTGCGCTATATATTTGCGTAATATGATATGGGTATATTATAGTTACAAACCAAAACCGTACAAAATATATGCAAAATGTTACAAACTGGTAAAAGCTCGTTTTCAGGAAATATTTCAGAGATGAGAATGATTGATTGATGAGTACGATCTCCACGTTATTTTGCTTGCAATCGATCTAATCTGAAAAACTTGGAAAATATATCAATGAGAGTCTGTTTATGTTTTTGCGTTTCTTTCATTTTCGAATACCTCATTTGTGCTTTCTGGTTTTTTTTTTGTTTACTGCGACAACGCCATACAGTAATAATAATAATCAAATCAAACCATTCATTTGCATAGTAATAGATGCGACAATAGCTGTGGTCAAACGTTGGTTTAGTTGCTACTCTGCCATCGTGGTTTTCAGTGGTTTTTCAATTTATTGAATTTCCTATTTTCTTTTTGTTTAGTTTACCTAGTGGCGTGGGATCCTTTCTGCCTACAGTTAAAAAACCGTAATTTGTAATTTTACCTTTTAATGTTAGTGTAGCAATTTGCACTCTCTAGCAATTTAAATATAAAGTATCGTTAATAAAGAAGACAATTTTCTAAATAAACGAACCAAAGTAATTGAGTTCTTTTCTTATATACAAAAAAAAAGGAAATTTCTAAAGTTTTAATATGTACAAAACGTGATTCGTGTTAAAAATATTTGATTGCCTGTACAATTCTGTTAATAACGTACGAAGAGCACTCTTTATATTATAATATTTTTACTTTCCCGAATTCTTTAGAGTTCAAATAAGCGTTTAAGGTCTAATTTATAAAGGTTTTCCCCCTCGCACTTATTAAAAATTAGTCTTATTCAATATTCCTAACAACCAAAAAAAATATGTCCGAATTGCAAGACTACGAAATATAGTTGGTGTTTAAACGTTATTAATTTTGCGGTGTTACATATTCCTGTACACTGTTATGCTTGTATGGCCTTAATCTTTCGAAATTTTCCTAATTATTGTTTTTTACATATGAATAAAGTTCAGTTCTTCTTCGATTCTTTTGGTTCATACATACAATCCAATGCAAATTTCTTTTTTCTTCAAAGTTCAACGTCAAGTGTAAAGTCTAATGTGTAAGCAAAAATCATTTTATAAAAGTTTTAATTTTCTTACCGAAATGTAGATTTATTCAATATACCCAGCAAAGAAAAAAACGATCTGAATAGTAACACTGTGGAACGCAGTACTTTTTGCTTAGACGATACGATCTGTTCGGGATGACTATTATTTTTTAAAATTAAATTTTAAGTGCATATTACATGATCAATACTTCTTAATTGCGTCGTAACCCGCAACGTAGGTTCTTCCTGAAAAGTTAATTTTGTAAGCGTGTAAACGTTTATCAATTTTGTTTTCCCCCTTCGGAATTCTCATGTATTTAGCCTAAACTCCGGGTATCCAAACACACATATTGCCTTGCACGCGATCGGTGAATTAATGGTATTTGATCTGTGAAAACAACATTTTCCATTGAATTTCATGCAAAATCGAAAATACCAACAACCAACAGATGGGCGCTTGAACTGCATAGACTTAAATCATCGCTTATAACTCAATACGTTTTTAGGGTTGAGATATATCTCATCTAATTGATTCTCTTAATTATTTGTCTTTTACAACATATGTTTATTTACATATATATGTTTTTCGAATGGACTCTCACAAGCAAGAGTGTATTATTATTTACATATAATTTTAGTACCATTTGACAAAAAAGATTTCCGAGCAAGAGTTTTAAACTGAGCTCTTGCGGGATTTTTGAAAAACAGTTTGAGAAAGCATGCTAATGTAAAGTTCATAAGAAAGTTTTAATTTTTGTGTAGTTTACGAATTCTTTAAAAACAATTCAACTCATTTAGCTAATGAGTATTTCTACGTCAATACGAATTTAACATTCGCTGTAAAAAGCTAATTTTCCGTCAAGTATAATCGGCCGCGCTCGCTATAAGTTCGTATAATCCGTCTGTAGAAAGCTTAATGATTACCTTAATGGAATAATTTCTGCGAACTAATAGCAGTCTAGTATCTTAAAATAGAATATTAAACAAAAATAAATCTTTAATTAATTTTTGGAGTCAGTTAATAACTCTATTTCAATAAGTAATACAAAATTAATTCGACCAAATATCGACATCTCGGAAGGTGTTTCTTGTATATTGAACTGTAAGGTTCCTAATATAGGAAAAATTTAGATATTGGCAATTTTTCCGTACGCATTTTGCTAACAACAATTTTGAAGATTTTATTGTAATATGGGTTTTTCGGCATAAACGTATGGTTATAATTTTGTACTCTACATCAGCTAGCGCGGTTGGGTGCGATACCTGCTAGATGCCCTGCTTTTACATCCATGGATTTTTTGAATCGATTGCAGTCTGCCTGCCCGCCTGTTGTCCATGTACATCTGCATGTATCATGTTATTTCGACAAATTTTTTACATGAAAAAATGTCACTACTTCTCTTAATATCAGTTAAACGATCTACAAGGACCCACAACGCATTTTCTTTGTTACGTGAATATTGGGCATAGACTGGTAATAGGTTAAATACGATGGTTTATCAGTAATTTCGAAACATTGTTCAAGCAAATTTGTGAGAGGGCAATCGCTGACTGTTGGAGGGAAAGTTCTGTCGCATTTTAAAGAAAACATTTGAATTCATTTATAAAAATACGTGTTTAATATTAATCAATTATGAATGCTCCGTTATTTATTACAACATGTTGCCATCTTTCAGGTAAGCTCCAAATTCCTGTCTTGTAGAAGTTCTCGTCTTTGGAGTTAAAATATTCACCAACTGCCTTAGAAACACTTTCAAAAGACTTGAATTTTTTCCCGTTAGATAATTTTGCAGACATATGAACAGATAATAATCAGATGGTGCAATGAATACGGTGGAAGACTAAGGATGTCCCATCCTAACGCATTCAGTTTTTGTTGTGTTACCATTCCACTATGCGGTCGAACATTATCCTGATGGAACGCTACTTCTTTTCTGGACGCTAATGCTGGCCATTTTTTTTTTGATAATTACGTTCAATTTATCCTGCTGTTTGCAGTAGAGATCCGCGTTAATGGTTTTTCCCTGTTTCAGCAATTCATAGTACACTGGGCCTTTCCAGTCCCACCACAAACAAAGCAATACTTCTCGTTGATGGATACTTGGTTTTGGAACTGTGGCTGATGACGTTCCTAATTTGCAGTAAGATTGTTTTTCTCTTAATATTCTCGTAAAGAATCCACTTTTCATCTTCAGTAACCAGCTTGTCCAAGAACGGCTCTATATTGTGTCCAAGCAGATGTGATGAAAACATTCTTACACGATCAGACAAATTCTTTTCCGTTAATTCATGTGGAACCCAAACACTTTGCTTTAACACAAACCCAAGAGATTTAATGTGATCTCCAACAGTTATATGACGAATGCCTAACTCTTCTGCAATTTCTCGACTTGTTAAATGTGGATTATTTTCCAAAATGGATCGCAAAACATCATTATCGATCTTGGATGGTCGTCCAAGTCGATCACTTTCTTGGAGGCCCAGTAGGAACATTTACAATACCTTTTCCAAATACCGCACAAAAATTTTTACATGCAACCGATGCGTTGCTTCCTTTTTGGAAGGCATACAAAATGCACTGTCATAAACTTACTTTATCTGCTGACATGTTTTTCACTTTAAATATCACAAGTAAATGATGAACAGTAAAAAAGACCCCTTTTATATTATACAATGGATAAAAAAACAAAAAAAAATTACCTACCTTTTTAAAATACGACTGAACATACCCTCCAACCTCTTAAATTGACTTCAAATCCCTATAGCTTAATGATAGCCGTTTCTTTGTGTCGTTATTCATATCTGTATTATAGGACATCACCGGCTCTACATGCGTTAAGTCTATTATGGCGAGCAAAGTTGCAATTGCTAATTTCTCAGAACTTTTTAACAATTTGCGACTTGAACAATGTTTCAATCTTGGCCTTAATGGAACTGTGCACGTTGCTAGGGCACAATCGATGTCCTTTTTACATTACACTACAATTTTCAGAGCTGCCTGAAATAGTGTAAAGTGGTTCTAATTTTTTAGTTTATCAAACGAATCCTATAAGTCCTTATGTTCATGTGAAATGGGCTTATTGGTATTAACATTGCCGTCGTCTTTTTAGGACAATGTTGACACTCTGAACATTGGTCCTACAGTCAGGGAAGAAGAACCTCACAAAACCATAAGTATTGAACACTTACCTCCTCACGTTATGGAAAAAAAAGTGAGTATACCCCCGTCTCACTATGGTGGGTATGAAAAATTGAAAAAGTGAAAAATTTAGAATGGATGAAACAATTTTTTTGCACTCCTTCCATATAATCAATTGTTCGTAAGAAAATTGAAACTTCGTATGTTCTAATTACTAGCTCTCATTTTCAATATTTCATGGTGAAAATTTGTCTATAATACTAATTTAACATAAATATTAATTTTGCCGAGCTGTACAGGTCTATACTTTGATCCCACTCCACATAAGGGTTCACATGAAAAATGGGCCTTGACACGGCAATTACATCAAATTTGAATCAAGTAGGTCTATTTTTTTGTGAGCCAAATACAGAGATCTTCATGAAAAATGACCTATTTTATGTTAAAAAGAACTAATTTTTAATATGTATCTAATTGTAATTTCTCATGCAAGTGAACCATAGGAAATTTAGATTACATAGGTCTATTAAAGTAACGGTTCTCATGAAAGGTAAGCTCTTATATGGCGATGAGCTTCCATTTGCAATATTTTACGACAAAAAAAAAAAGAAAATAATAAAATCTATGAAAAGCAAATTAACTTTGCTAAATTCGGGCCACATCACTTGACGTTTTGGGCACCTTCAAATGTGAGAGTTTTGCTGAAAAGTAATCCTTTGCAAGAAAATCATGTAACTTTGGTGCATTTTCACGGAAGTATCTAAATTTGTGCTCAAAGCGCTTTCTGTTTGCTAATTCTTTTTGCCTTCAAAATTCAAAAACCGCCGCCATTACATCGTTCAATAGCGTACGCTCTTGAGCGAAAATACCTCAGTGTACCAAATTTCGTCAAAATATTTCAAAAGTTGTAAACTGTAAGTTAAACGTAAGAATACAAGACGAGCACAACAACGACGGGCTTACAAGCTAAAGTATATACAATAAAAGATGGGCCTATCCCAAGTCCTTTTGAGTAGTAGTCCACGGTATAAAAAACAGCCAACCAAATAATAGGATCTTTGTATGCCGAAATTTTGTCGGCAGGAAATAGTTGCTAGTGCAGCTGACAATTTGCGCAATACGATTACGACATTTTATAGGCTACAAGCTTATAAAGGAACGATTTTAAGACCAAATCATGTATGGAGGGATTGAAAATTTTATGAAGCATGATACAAAATTTATATGCAGCTCTTTTTTTCTTATATAAAGTTCTTAAGTCACTGTATTTTTTTGAAGAAAGGCAAACAGAATACAAATATTTCCTAATGGATAAACGTGTTGAGAGCGTTTAACAAATGTTCTAATAGAACATGAAAATATGTTTCGGTCGGTTTTAATATTATGCATTAGTATAGCACAATCCACTTCAGTCACGAACTGATCATGCTATGCATGACACGCCACACGCTTTATCGATAACTATATTTATTTCAAGGTATACAGATTCCAATCACAGGACGGTATACAGATTCCAACCAATTAGCAATAAAAAAGCATTTTTTTTTGGATTTACTTGATAACGATTTTTATATGGAGTATACTGTATTTCATAAGTGCTTTATTGTAGGCTATTTGATTACATTTTAGAAAGTACGTTGCCAATCTTATAATGCATTTGTAGTACAAGTAATACGGCGTGCTCGGGTCAGTGATAGCTTTTGCATTAATTTGCATTTTTTTTTTTCAATTTGAAATATATATTTGTACTTATATGTCTTATGAATTTTTAGAAACATCTTCAAGAACGTTCAATAGTGGAAATAGCACCACAAATAATACGACGGGACGCATCAAGAAAGTAAAATTCTCCAGCGAAAATATTACCTTTGGGACAGAAGTTTGTGATAGTCTAAGGGACTGTTGCCTAGAGAGCGATCACGCAGATAATCATCATCTTCAGCAATATCATCTCAATAAGAGCAATAACAACAATAATAAAATCGAGGATATGAGCAGCGCTGTAGTAGCAGAAAAAAATGACAGACCGAGCTTTTTGGTAAGTTAGGTATCTTAATGGTCGGTGGGGGCTTATGGTTTTTTGATTGTTTTGATATATGCATGGCTACAAATTATGAGTTATATTAGATTAAATACACGTTTGTATTGTTACACAACTTTCAACCGCATTGAGAGCAATTACATACAAATATTTTCCCATAATTGCAGGTAGGCTTGTTTCATAGAATTTTTAGTGGCTCTAATTTAGAAGAGGTAGGTCTGTGCATTTGGGGAATTAGTTTTAGAAATTTCGAACAAAATTATACATAAATACATATTATTTATTAATCTGTTTTACTTCAATTTCGAAATTGTGCTTTTTTTGCAGGTGGGCGATGATATTGATATTGATATTCCATCCAACAATCCTCATGAATCGGGAGAATCAAATGATGAATTCATACAAAACACGAGCACAGACACCGGCGATGTAGCAGACAAACGTACTCGTTTAAGGTAAGCGATTTCAGAAGTAGTTAAGTTTGGCTTAGAATATTGGCTAAGAAGTTAGAAACGGAATCACATTTTCTTAGTTGGAGAATGTTCCGTGAAATTTACCTTTTCTTACAACTAGGTAGGTGTTGGAAGCTCGTTAAAAAATATGGAGCATATATTCTGATTATAATGATTACGTTTTACCATTAGGAAGGTTTTTGACGATGGAACATTTTCGCAACCTTAAGTTAATTTAGTGTTGAAAGCCCTTTAAAAATGTGGATTTTATTCTGATATGACAATTATGTATTTTCATTACAACGATTATGCCAGATTAATGACTGTAAGTAATGGCGTCTAGACGCTCGGCAATACGTAATAAATAAATTTTTTATATACTTTTATCATTTTACTTTATCGATTTCAAATTTATGTTAAACTAAGAACAAATATTTAGTCCATAAATGGTCTCAGACGGTTAAAAAGTTGCCACAAGTTTTCTGGTTTATTGAAAACCCGTCGTCTATTTATTACTTTACAGGTGCTTTCCTATCCGCCCTAAGTTAAAAGAATTAATTTAAAAGTGCACAAAACTTATAACTATATGCGGCGTTAGATAAACATAGGTGGGTTTTAATATAGTACTTGCAATTGCATCTGCTACCGCAGCTAAATGAATTTTAAAAAATTGGGATGCGATCATGTTAACACGTTTAATAGTGGTAGTTAAGTAGATATGATATTTCCTACAAAAAGCATTATTTGTTATTTTAGCGAAATACATATATTATTAGGGGATTTTTGTTACTCGTTTCTAAGTTTTACAAAAGTTTAACAAACTTACTCCCCTTACGTTATCAAATAATTAACTTTTAATAAGAACCTATTTATCTAGCGTATGCCCTGATTCTATCAAATATATGGAATTCTAAATTACTATGATTAAAAAGTATCATCGTAAGTCAAAAAATGGCTTCGAAGCAACTCCGGTTAGCGAGCTGCCAAACATTTATCATTCTCATGCCAAAGGCCATAACTTCTTCTTTCTTAATGCATAAGTAAGACAAGAATATTTACATTTTGAGAAGACTATGACATATTTGTGTATCTGAAAGGTGAAGACAAAACATATACGTCCTTATCCTTCGGTAGTGTGTGCGAAAATATTGTTCGCTTTAGTTTTCGTAGCGTGCACGTGTGGACGTCCGTATAAATTGAATAATAAATACATACTCTAAAACAGGTGATGCTAAGAAATGCCGCTGTTCGTAGTTATACACAATTGTATGTAAACACATGCAATCAGCTGCCGCCAACCACTTTCAAAAAACAAAACATAACTCACGAGAATGTGCGTATATGTTATCGCAACCCACGAAAAACCTTTATATGTATTGATACATCGTATGATAAATATAAATAGAAAGACACACATTTACGTACGTTGGTGCCAATACGACTAATATTTCATGAATGAATATGTATTTTTCCTATTTAATGACTATGGGGGGGTGCTGAGAGTGAAATAAATACTAAACCTCTATCTGAATCTTACATATATTAACAAGTCAACTAACTTTCACTTTTAAGAGAATTTGCTTTTGCGGAGACTTAACACAAAATTGCATGCCATTTATTTTGTTACACTTGACAATGAATTTAAAGACTGAAGACATAGTTTGCTACTTTGGTTGCATGGTGATAATAAATATAGACTTAAAGTTGCTTTTTGTCAAAGCTCTTAACAACGTCAATTAAGTTTTTATAACAACTCAACTGAGAGAGACGTAAATGCGCAATTTTGTCTATACACTGGCACATGTAAACGCGCAGATTAGCATTTCGCTGTAATCTGTCCGTTAAAAGAGTTATACATTCGGTTTAGTAACACTTTAAACGTGGTTGAGTTTGGAGAGTAAAAATTTAGAGCGGTTTTCTAGAAAAAAGCCTTAAAAAATATCGTTGAAATCAATATTAGCAGAGTAGTGGTAATTCGCAACCAATTTAAATAATAAATTTGTTCATTGCATTAAAACAGTGTTGTCGTATTTGTGTTGCAAAAAAAAAAAATTTTTACGTATTGCTTTAATTTGGTTGTCTGTTTCGAATGTGAATGTTCTTAGCAGTGTCCATAATATTGTCCATTATGTTGAAGAGGCGTCCAAGTAAACGTTTTGTACTTGTAGAATCCCGTGAACAGCACGACGACACCTACAACATTATGAATACAATTAATAACAATAACAACAATATTAGTAGCTCATATGCAATAAGTACAGGAAATGCAGGAGAAAGTGTTGGAATTCCAACAACAACTGCTATGGATACGTCATTATACAATGGTGATCATACGTTATTACCAGGATCTGCAGCTATAAAGTAAGACCGACTCTGTGTCACTACTACGTATTATAGTTTCTAATCTCGTTTTTATAAATTGCTTTATTAACCGGTCACATAAAACGTAATCTATTTGTGTACGTGAAAAGTATTAGTTCATTCCATCTATTCTTGACGGTTTTTGTAATCTGCTTTTGGGGAAAAGTTTTACAACAAAAATATCTTAGTTACGCCTCTATGTCTGTTTAAAAGCAATATTAATGCTCTCTTTGTTTAAATTTATTAGGCGTTATGGTTTATTTCCTTTCTTTCAAATACTTTTTTTTCACCATCTGTTGCATTGAACCTCTGCATTTTATCGATACAAAAAGTTATGAACGAAAAATTGAGTTGAAAGTCGAGCTACATAAGCTGATGACGGTGAATGCAATTAAACTTACACCAATAATTAACTTATCTCAAGGAACCTTTAGTGATATGCGAAAAAATGGGGTCAACTATTCGAAGTGTACAATACTCTTACAGCGCATTTTTCCAAATCGGCATCCCTTAGAGGCGGAAATAATAAAACGCCTATGTTAATCGTACGATTGAAGTTTATACGAATGGCTTTAAACAATCAGGTGGTGCCAAACTGTGTTTAGAAAATGTATATAACACACCACTCAATAAATATCTCATCTGATACATATGCGGCACTACTGTTGGCAGGCCCACTTGATTTCTGGATAGTATCAATCTTCAAACCATACGTGTCCAAATTTCATGGCATTTACACTACTAATTTGCAAGAACTCTTTTAAACATAATGAGCTCAACAAAGAACGCGGTGAATATAATCTAAAGAACAATTAGTTCTTATTATATTTATATAATAAATTTTTATGCGCTACGCCACTGTGTAACTAGACCTTGCATGACTTGCGGTACATAGACTCACGTTTTATTGTACTAATGGAGTCAGAATTATTTTTTGCCTGCTTGTCGAATGTCTGCCTACGTATTTTTGTGTTCCACCAAGTACTATCAATAGCACGGGTCCCATTGGAACATTTGCGACCGCCCTTATATCATACATATATTAAAACAGACGGTGTTGAAGGAACAGTAGCTTGACGACCTAAATTGAAGTGAAGAATTTGGATTGGATGGGCCAATTTTTTGAGTCTCTCCGACAACTAAACGTCCGTATGGAAAAATATTTTATAGTGAAAATTAGTATTAGACAGTATATAACACCTAACCCTATCAAATTGGAACCAAGCAAGTCTATTATTTGGATGCCAGTCTACAGAAAAATGCTTCATGAAAAATCTGGTCTACTTTTTAATATTTTCAACAAAAATCTGCTCACAATAGCAATTTGACATAAAAAAATAACTGTAACAAATTCAGGTAGCATAGCTGTATTTTTTAGGTCCACCGTTTATAAAAATTCTTATGATAAGTAAGCTCGTACATAGAGATGAAGTCGAGTTTCAATTTTTTAATACAAAAAAAAAAAAAAAACCAAAGGAAATCAGAAAATTAAATATCCCAAATAAAGACCACGTTGTATCGTATTTTGGCCACGTTCGAATCCAAGAGTTCTGAAGAAAAATATGCCTGCACTTGAAAAAAGGGTATAATATTTTGTGTCTTATAACGAATTTCAATGAATAGCCAAAGTGATGTAGAGTGTAATGATATGCAACTTGACCGTAAAGACGTCAATTTCGAAGACAGTAAAGAAAAAAAATAGGGCCGAAATGACGCTCAAAAAATATATACCTCTAACTTGATACCCTCAGATCATGTATTCTTGATTCGTTGAAATTTCTTCATATATATTGACATCGTAGGAGTCGACAATTGTAAGATAAAAACTTTAAACTATGTAAATGTAGTTTTCGATCAAATCTTCAGGTAAAAAGCCATCATTTGTTGGCAAATTCATTTGCCCAGAAAATATCGGCAAAACGTTGGCAGTTTCAATCTGTGTTTTTAAAAACATGTGAATTTCACTCAATTTTAAGTGTAAGTAGTCGAAAAAGGGAAATGTTTATTTTCTTTACATATTTCAAATGATTGCAAAGTGCATCTTTTCCAAGTCGAAATTCTTCGTTGCTAGAGCTCATCCTGCTCTCAGTGCTAGAATATTTTTTTGGTCCGAACAAGTAATAAAAATAAGAATAATACACAAAAGTTTGTTTTTGTTTCAACTAACATTTTGCGTTGAAAATCTAGAGTTTTATGCTGTGTTTGATGAAAGCGGCACTGAAAGCGGCAATTGAAGAAAAATTCCACACAAGAGGGCAAAAATTCAGGAACCAATATGTTTAATAAAGAAATCTTATAACGTTTAGAATATTCAATAAAATGTAAAAAAATTAAGTAATAATAATAGCGAACATAGAAGAAAAGTTATTGGGGATGTAGTTCTCACAGTCACTCAATCACCCATATTAACACCAAAAAAAGAAGAAAATATTAAACTTTTAAGGTGAAACAATACTCAATTAAAATAGAAATATATTATATGAACAATGACTACAAATTGGATTTAAAATAAAGGATCATATTTTACTAACTATATAATGTGTAACTATATATATTTTTCAACTCTATTGGATTTTTCAGGCCCAGTATGTCAAGGGGCGCCGGCCTCAGTCAAGATCGTTTGCTCGACCGTGATTTTCATATAGCTACACCTGAAGAATTTGTTAAGAAATTTGGTGGTATACGCGTTATAAATCGTATCCTAATAGCCAATAATGGCATTGCAGCAGTCAAGTGTATGCGTTCAATACGCCGTTGGTCATACGAAATGTTCAAAAATGAGAGGGCTATACGTTTTGTAGTCATGGTAACGCCGGAAGATTTGAAGGCGAACGCTGAGTACATAAAAATGGCCGATCATTACGTCCCTGTCCCTGGAGGATCTAATAATAATAACTATGCAAATGTTGAGCTGATTGTTGACATAGCTTTGCGTACACAAGTTCAGGTTAACTAAAACATTATTATGCCAAATTAAACATTTCGCCACAGTTTTTCATTTTATTATTTTTAGGCTGTTTGGGCTGGCTGGGGTCACGCTTCAGAAAATCCGAAATTGCCTGAGTTATTGCATAAACAAAATTTAGTTTTTTTAGGCCCACCAGAACGTGCCATGTGGGCCTTGGGCGATAAAGTAGCCTCTTCAATTGTAGCACAAACAGCTGACATTCCTACTTTGCCTTGGTCTGGATCCGAATTAAAAGCTCACTACAGTGGCAAAAAAATTAAAATATCCAGTGATTTGTTTGCACGCGGTTGTGTAAGTAATGCTGAACAAGGCCTGGCTGCCGCCCATAAAATTGGTAAAGTATTTTAATCCAAACTTAATGCTTTATATAATTTTCAATGTTTAATTTTTAGGATTTCCTGTCATGATTAAAGCTTCAGAAGGCGGAGGTGGCAAAGGTATACGTCGTGTGGATACGTCTGAGGACTTTCCTGCTCTCTTTCGGCAAGTTCAAGCCGAAGTACCCGGTTCACCTATATTTGTAATGAAGTTGGCGCGTGGTGCTCGACATTTGGAAGTACAACTTTTGGCTGATCAGTACGGCAATGCTATCAGTTTATTCGGTCGCGATTGTTCAATCCAGCGACGCCATCAAAAGATTATTGAAGAAGCCCCTGCTATAGTCGCCAAACCGGAGGTTTTTGAAAACATGGAGAAGGCTGCAGTACGCTTAGCTAAAATGGTGGGGTATGTTAGCGCCGGTACAGTAGAATATCTCTACGACAGTGAAGGTCAATACTTTTTTCTTGAATTAAATCCTCGTCTGCAAGTCGAACATCCATGTACAGAAATGGTGGCTGACGTTAATTTGCCCGCCTGCCAACTACAAATTGGTATGGGAATTCCTTTGTATCGGCTCAAGGATATACGTCTGCTTTATGGAGAATCCCCCTGGGGCACTTCTGTTATTGATTTCGAAAATCCTTCTCATAAACCAAGACCATCAGGCCACGTTATCGCTGCTCGTATAACTTCTGAAAATCCTGACGAGGGCTTTAAGCCGAGTTCAGGTACCGTGCAGGAACTGAATTTTCGCTCCAGTAAAAACGTATGGGGTTATTTTAGCGTGGCTGCTTCTGGAGGGTTGCATGAATTTGCAGACTCCCAATTTGGTCATTGCTTTTCATGGGGCGAAAATCGTCAACAGGCTCGCGAGAATTTGGTGATTGCGCTTAAAGAGCTTTCCATACGCGGTGATTTTCGTACTACTGTAGAATATTTAATCACTTTGTTGGAAACAAATAGCTTTCTAGACAATTCTATTGATACTGCCTGGTTAGATGCCTTAATAGCCGAGCGCGTGCAATCAGAAAAACCAGATATTCTGTTAGGCGTTATGTGCGGAGCTTTGCATATAGCAGATCGCCACATCACCGAGGCCTTTTCCAGTTTTCAAAATTCTTTGGAAAGAGGACAGATTCAAGCTGCCAACACTTTGACCAATGTTCTCGACGTAGAGCTAATTAATGACGGCATACGCTATAAAGTGCAGGCCGCAAAAAGTGGTCTAAACTCTTACTTTTTACTCCTGAATAGTTCCTTTAAAGTGATTGAAGTCCATCGCCTCTCGGATGGAGGTCTGCTACTCTCGCTCGATGGCGCCTCTTACACTACTTACATGAAAGAAGAGGTGGATCGTTATCGCATAGTTATTGGGAACCAAACATGTGTTTTTGAAAAAGAAAATGATCCCTCTCTGCTACGTAGTCCTTCAGCTGGTAAAATTATTAATCTTTTGGTAGAAGATGGGGCCCATGTCAATAAAGGTCAGGCTTACGCTGAAATTGAAGTTATGAAAATGGTAATGACTCTCACTTCGCAAGAATGTGGTACTGTCTCCTTCCTAAGACGAGCGGGGGCTGTAGTAGAGGCTGGTTCTTTATTGGGCCATCTAGAATTAGATGATCCTTCTTTGGTTACGAAAGCTCAACCCTATAGAGGTCAATTTCTACAGCCTGAAAATACTCCTGTGCCTGAAAAGCTCAATCATATTCATAACACTTACAAAGCGATATTGGAAAATACTTTGGCCGGTTATTGTTTACCCGAACCATATAATGCCCAACGTTTAAGAGATGTTATAGAAAAGTTCATGCAGAGTTTACGTGACCCCTCATTACCTCTTTTGGAGTTGCAGGAAGTAATAGCTTCCATTTCTGGACGTATTCCTATTTCAGTGGAGAAGAAGATACGTAAATTGATGACCCTCTACGAACGTAATATAACCAGTGTTTTGGCTCAATTTCCCTCGCAGCAGATAGCCAGTGTTATTGATTCTCACGCCGCTACCTTGCAGAAACGTGCAGATCGCGATGTGTTCTTCCTCACCACACAAAGTATAGTTCAGTTGGTACAAAGATATCGAAACGGCACACGAGGGCGTATGAAAGCCGCTGTTCATGAATTGTTGCGTCAATATTATGATGTGGAGTCACAGTTCCAACACGGCCATTACGATAAATGTGTGGGCTTAATTCGTGAAAGAAACAAAGATGACATGCAAACTGTTGTCAACACGATATTTTCACATTCTCAGGTAGCAAAAAAAAATCTTTTAGTAACTCTGCTCATTGATCATTTGTGGTCTAATGAGCCTGGGTTGACAGACGAATTAGCTAATACTCTCAGTGAGCTCACTTCCCTCAACCGCGCTGAACATTCACGAGTTGCTTTACGTTCACGACAAGTATTAATTGCTGCCCATCAGCCAGCTTACGAATTGAGACACAATCAAATGGAATCTATTTTCTTATCTGCTGTGGATATGTATGGCCACGACTTTCATCCTGAGAATTTGCAACGTCTTATTTTATCGGAGACTTCTATCTTTGATATACTTCATGATTTTTTTTACCATTCCAATCGAGCCGTTTGCAACGCCGCCTTAGAGGTGTACGTAAGGCGGGCGTATACTTCTTATGAGCTCACTTGTTTGCAACATTTGGAATTATCCGGTGGCTTACCATTAGTACATTTCCAATTTCTGTTACCAACCGCTCATCCTAATAGACTATTCCTGCGCATGGCTCAAGAAGGCTCCGATCAACCGTCCGACAGTTCCCCTACATCATTTATTCGAACGGGCTGTATGTCGGCCTTTGATTCTTTTGAACATTTCGAAATTAATTCTGACGAGATTTTGGATTTGCTAGAAGATTTGGCGTCGCCTGCTATGGTTAATGCCAAGGTTTTGGAAGCAGTTGAAGCAGTCGACTCAATCTCTGATGGGCGTTTAAGCACATCTATAAATGTGTCTTTGTCGGACCCTATAACGCGAGCTAACGCTGCTGAAGAAGCTAAGTCCACTGAACCCATACACATAATCAGTGTCGCTGTGCGAGAGACGGGAGACATGGATGACATGCAAATGTCGCAAATTTTTGGTAACTACTGTAAAGCGCATCTCGATGAATTATACCAAAGACGTATACGACGTATAACTTTTGCAGCCTTGAAAAAGTGAGTTTTGTGTTAGTCTCTTTAAGAGAGGCTTGGAAGAGAAAAGATTTTTGGAAGTTTTGATTTGTTTTTGCTCTATTCTTAGGCGCCAATTTCCGAAATTTTTTACCTATCGAGCTCGGGATAATTTCGAAGAGGATCGCATTTATCGTCACCTAGAACCAGCATGTGCATTCCAGTTGGAATTGAATCGCATGAAAACTTATGAACTCGAAGCGCTACCCACTGCCAATCAGAAAATGCATTTGTATCTTGGCAAAGCCAAGGTATCCAAAGGCCAGGAAGTCACGGACTACCGATTCTTTATACGATCAATTATACGACATTCAGATTTAATAACCAAAGAGGCTTCATTCGAGTACCTACAAAATGAGGGTGAACGCGTTTTATTGGAGGCTATGGACGAATTGGAAGTAGCTTTTTCTCACCCTCATGCCAAGCGTACTGATTGTAATCATATATTTTTGAATTTTGTACCAACTGTTATTATGGATCCGACCAAAATCAAAGAATCAGTTACGAAAATGATTATGCGTTATGGACCACGTTTGTTGAAATTACGTGTTCTGCAAGCCGAACTGAAAATGGTCATACGTCAGTCAACCCAGTCACCCACGCAAGCAGTGCGTCTTTGCATAGCAAACGATTCCGGTTATTTCTTGGATATATCTATGTACACCGAGGTCACTGACGCCGATACTGGTGTGGTAGGTATTCGCAGAGAGAAAAGATATAATTGAGAAAATTTGACTTTTTCGTTTTGTAGATTAAATTTAAGGCTTATGGTGAAGAGCAGGGGTCTTTACATGGCCTGCCTATTTCAACTCCTTATGTCACTAAAGATTTTTTACAGCAGAAACGATTCCAAGCTCAAAGTAATGGTACTACTTACGTGTACGACATACCCGACATGTTTCGTCAAATGACAGAACGCCATTGGAAGCAGTTCTCTAAAGCACGGCCCACTGTCGATGTGCGTATACCAGAGAAGGTGTTGTTGGAATGTGTGGAACTTGTTCTCGATGGTGATAGTCTAATTGAAATGAAACGTTTACCGGGTGAGAACACGGTGGCTATGGTAGCCTGGCGTATAGTCTTGGCTACACCAGAATATCCCGAAGGCCGTGAGATTATTATGATAGCCAACGATTTGACGTATTTCATAGGTTCTTTCGGCATACAGGAAGATATTCTTTTTCACAGAGCGTCAGAGCTGGCAAGAGCCAGAAAGGTGCCTAGAGTAAGTAAAAAACTGGGCAATGGGAGATAGGACATATTCATTTCGTGATGTTTGTATTTTGTGGTATTTATATTAATTTACAGATATATATTTCGGCTAACAGTGGAGCCCGCATTGGTTTAGCAGAAGAAGTAAAATCTTTGTTCAGAGTGGCTTGGGAAGATCCTGAAGAACCAGATAAGGGTTTTAAATATCTATATCTTTCCACAGAGGATTATGCAAAGGTGGCAAACCAAAATTCCATACGAGCTATACTCATCGAAGATGAAGGCGAACCACGTTATAAAATCACTGATATCATTGGTAAAGACGATAGTTTAGGGGTAGAAAATCTACGTTATGCTGGCCTTATAGCTGGAGAAACTTCTAAAGCTTACGAAGATATTGTTACCATTTCAATGGTAACTTGTCGTGCGATTGGTATTGGTGCGTACGTTGTCCGTTTGAGCCAACGCGTGATACAGATAGAAAACTCTCATATTATTCTAACGGGATATGCGGCTCTCAACAAGTTGCTTGGTCGAAAAGTGTATGCTTCGAATAATCAATTAGGTGGTGTCCAAATTATGTATAATAACGGTGTATCGCATAAGACAGAACCTTATGATTTAGAGGGTGTTTATACTATTCTGGATTGGTTATCATATATGCCGGCATACATTGGATGTGGTTTGCCAATCGTTCAGCCTAATGACCGTATAGATCGACCTGTAGATTTTATACCTACCAAGTCGCCTTATGATCCGCGTTGGATGTTGGGTGGAAGAATTAATCCGGGTAAATAAGGCTTTTATGATAATACAAACGGAAACATTTATTGATAAATGATTCCTTTACAGCAAATTCTAATGAGTGGGAAAATGGTTTCTTTGATCGCAATAGTTGGAGTGAAATTATGGCACCTTGGGCTAAAACTGTAGTCACTGGTCGAGCACGATTGGGCGGCATACCCTGTGGGGTAATTGCGGTCGAAACTCGCACTGTTGAACTTGAAATGCCTGCTGATCCGGCCAATCTAGATTCGGAAGCTAAAGTCAGTAAACCGATCATATAGTATTCTGTAGCTGTTTTTTGATTGTTGATGATTTCAGACCTTACAACAAGCTGGCCAAGTATGGTATCCAGATTCTTCTTTTAAAACTGCTCAGGCCATTAAAGATTTCAATCGTGAAGGTTTGCCTTTAATCATCTTTGCCAATTGGCGTGGTTTCTCTGGTGGCATGAAAGATATGTATGAACAAATTGTTAAATTTGGAGCCTATATCGTAGACGGTTTAAGGGAATATAACAAGCCAGTTTTAATTTATTTGCCGCCAAATTCTGAATTGCGAGGCGGGGCTTGGGCTGTCTTGGACCCTCTTATTAATCCACGTTATATGGAATCTTATGCAGATCCAGAGGCTAGAGGGGGTGTTTTAGAGCCCGAGGGCATTGTAGAGATTAAATTTAAGGAGAAAGATTTAATCAAAACAATACATCGCTTAGATCCTACCACAATAACGGTAGGCGTTTGTGCTTTTTTCTAATCGAAGAAATATTTAAACTTTTGTGTGTTAACTTAGTTGAAAAAAGAAATGGACGAATTGTTGACCAAGGGCGACAAAGCGAAAGTCGTTTTGCTAGAGAATAGGATTAAAGAACGAATTGCCGCTTTGATGCATGTCTATCACACAGTAGCCGTACACTTTGCTGATTTACATGATACTCCAGAACGGATGATGGAAAAAGACTGCATCAGTGGAATTGTGCCTTGGCGGGAATCACGTCTTTGGATATATTGGCGTTTGCGACGTCTCATATTAGAAGACTCGTATATTAAGAAGATTCTCAAAACCCAGGAAAATCTTTCAGTGGGTCAAGCTAAACAAATGTTGCGACGTTGGTTAGTAGAAGATAAAGGAGCTTCGGAGGTAAGTATGGGAACTCTTAAAAAGAGTTTTTCTTATAAATTTTTTATATCAATTTTTTATAGTCCTATATCTGGGATAAAAACGAAGATATGGTTCATTGGTATCTGGAACAAGAAAAATCCGACTCCGTAGTCCTGCGTAATATAAATGCAGTGCGTAAAGATGCTATTATTTCATCAATAACCAAAATGTTAGAGGTAAGTGCGAAGATAAAGTGTAGTTTTCTATCCGAATTTAAAGATATTGGTAAAGAGGCGGAGTAAGCGTAACCTACTTTTCAAAGTTTTCATGATTAACGAAATTTCTTCATTCATTGGATGCGAAATAACCGTAAACATGGGCTATTGTAACGACCTATTTTTGTGCATAATGTTCCTTTTTAGCATCGCTTCTTTTTACATCGTCGTTCCCTTGGTATTCTGTCATTCTCATTTTCATCTTCCTTATCTCTCCATCCAATCCGTATACTGTTCCTTCATATTTATAACTTCTACATGAATATCTGCCCTTTTTCTCAGAGATAGTGTTGCAGAAGCTTCGCAATACAGTAGATCAATAATTAGTTATAGTGCTATTCGTAAGAAATGAACTGACTAATGAGAGAAAACTGTGTATTTATTTTTTTATCTCTACAGGATTATCCTGAAGTTACTTTAGATACTGTAGTCGCCTTGTGTCAAGGCCTTACCTCAGTCAACCGTGGTGTTGTTGTACGCACCTTAACACAAATGCAATTAAATGAGGAAACTTCAGCAGCCTCCAGTACAAATGCAACTCAAGGATGATATCAGCATTATTTGTAGTTACAAAATTCGAAGCTAAGTCAATGCTTAATACAGCGAAGTCAACTTTTCGAAACTAATATTTTTAAAAATACCCCCGGCATTTTCATATTAATATCCTATCGACCGATTTTAGTTTTAATTATATTTCCTGGTCCTTAGTGCTATTGATAACGTTACCATTATTATCATTAGTTCAATAGAGATGTTAGTTTACATTCTCAGAATAATTTTTAACAAGAGTATGCGACCTTCCTTTCTTTTTCTCTTTTCTAATTGTTTGGTCTCTTTGCTTGGCTCGTTGAGACTTGGAATTAATTTAGAATTTACATTTTTCATTTGTAATATCGAATAATATGAACGCTCAGCTTATTTCGTCCAACAGAAGTTTTCCATTTCGTTATTAATTATTTTATTTACTAATTTAAAAAATGAAAGAATTATAAAGTGTTGAACAATTCTCCATTAATTATAAGATTTTCGTAATAAAGTGTTCACCCATTAATTATAATAATGCTAACCATTCCATTCAACTTTAAAGTAAAAACCTGTTGCGATTCTTTGGCATTTGATTTTCCACTTGAAAGATCGCGTCGTGTTTTTTGTTCAGTCATTTCGAATATGTGTTCACATTCGTCCGACATTTTGAATTCTTCTTAAACGAACTCGGCGTGAAACTTTTGTTCCTACGAATTCTGTTTAAGGAAATTAAATTACAAATCGCAGCAAAACATAATCTCATAAACTGTGCATGTAGATCCTGAATATCTGCACTTTGATAAACGTTGCTGCGCCTAAACTAGGCATACTGCACACAAATGTATAATATAAATAGCACACTGATATTTTCCTATTTAGAAAGAAATTCACTGGCAACATTTTAAAATCCAATTGAGTATGTCTATTTACGCAAAGCAACTGGAAAGGATATCCTTTTCCAAGTTTCTTGAAACCCGTCTGATAAGCTAAATGGTCCTGTTGTGCTACAGTTTAACTCCGTGTTACATGAGACAATCATAAACGCCTAAGTCATTTGAAAGCGAGCAATAAGCAACTTTACTGAACCTTACCATCGAAATTGTAGACTAACGTAGTGTGTTACCAAGGTGAGACTTGCGTTACTAAAATGCAACTGTGTTGGTTTTGGAACTATGTGTTAAGCGCAAAAAAAGTCATATTTAAAAGGAAATCGCTGTTGCATTATGACGTTTAATGAGAAATACACAAGATGCAATATCCCTGGCTTAATATTTATGATCCAAGGCAGAAAAATAATTTATGGTAAAGCCCAGTGCGTACATCAATTGACGTCATCAATAAAAAATTCGCAGGAGAAAGAAAAAGCGTAATTCAATGAAAAATCCGTCCTCCTTTTGACTAAGACAAAATGGTCTGCTTTGTTAAAGTCTTCAGGGGACTAGTTATCTAAATATGAAAAATATTTTATAAAAATCATGTCAAAATTGTCTGGAAATCTGTTCCAGATCTGCCAATCAATAAACGTTCTTCCTCTGAAATTTCTTCTTATGCTATGAACAATAGTTAATCTTTGCCTTTTGCTGCATTTTTTATAAGTGCAGTTTTCAGTTTGAATTATCAATATTGGTTGGAACAATCCTGTCAAAACTTTTACAAGGCTTAGCTGTAGCTTTCCAATGAATAGTGATGCGCCAAAGTTTACTTTTTCCGAAAATTAACTTTTTTCGGCCATTTTAATCACTTACTGTAAGAAACGACGTGGATATGATAAAGGAATGAAATTTTCGAAAGCAGGAACAGAGATATCATGAGATTGCCTTAAAACTATGAAAGCAGAGCCAAATAGTATAGCTGCCAGAATTCAATAACTGCTTCCATATATTTTGGCCAGCGACATCTATTGATGAAAATAGTAAAGTATCAATGTACACAACTATTAAATTCAATGATTTTGACCTTTCTCAAATAACAGTTCTTCATTTAGTATTATTGAGTCCTTCTCTATATAAAGGCACTAATCATGGAACACTCAAAATTGTATTTTCGACATTTATTATTTCCATTTGCTTTCATTGCTTGCTATGCAAAAAAAGAGGAATTTTCTACGGCGTATTGTGATTGACGATGGCTACAATACTCGCAAGCTCTAAAGATGCATATGTGCACATGTTGGGATCAGCTAAATGTAGTGTGTTACACAATGCTAAAACCGAATAAAACTGTGACTGCAGATGTCTGCTCACGTCCATTGTATAAATTGAACGATGTATTGTTGCAAACAAAACCGTCAATAACGGCTAACAGACGAGAAGTCATCCTCTTGCTTGAGAATGCTCGGTCACAAGAGTGTAAGAGTTGTCAATGGTGTACTCTTGCAGCTTGAAAGGAATGTTTTGCCTCACCCAGCGTATACATTAGACATAACGCCATATGATTACCGCTTGTCGCGTGGCCTGGTTGGCACGCTGTACCGCAAAGTTGAAGAACATGCGAAAAAGGGTCGACGATTGGATCGCTGCCAAACTAATGTCGTTCTTTCGAGGTGGTTTCGCCACATTGTAGGAAGATGTAGAAAATGATGGAAAATATTTTGATCAATAGGTCTTCTGTCAACTTTTCTCAATAAACGCATTTTTCGTGCAAGCACCTAATACATTTCTTTTCCATCAACGCTAAAAGAGGCGAAGGGCAAGTTTCATTCCATGTGTAAATAACACGTTTAAAGGAGGTAACTTTCAAAAAATAAAATAAGGTGACGTAGAAACCGTCGATGAAATGATAATGACAGACATAAATATGTAAATTTGGCAATCTTACCGATACGAACGGCAATGATTACACGGGGTCATGTTAAAATATATGACTTTAGGGTTTAAGCTGAACTCTCAGCAGCGTTGCAGGTTTAGTGTGATTAAAAAGAAATCTTACAACAACTCTACAAGGAAAAGAAAACATATACACAAAGAGTTAATAAAAAAGTGTTCAAAGGATGAATGTTGTAGAAAAAAAGTAGTGAATTTAGATTTAGTATAATTAAAATAACATATTTGCGTTTTTAATGAAAGAAGTTAATTCCCTGTAACCATTGAAAAGATCGTTTAATTTGGTTACTACATGCATTTAAGACGCTAAAAGACTTCCTGATGTGTTTAAATTTACGGCAGTTAAATGTTCAACCGGTTCTTTCGTATTGTACATTTCAAAGGTGCCACTTGGGTAGGTTTCTGCTTTTTGGAATCATTTTGCAATCGTCATTCAATTGTTGAAAAGTTTTGGCACTGGTTATGTATGTTTTAGTTAACTAGCTCTCAAGGCGTTTGGTTGCGAGTTGTGCATGGCTTTCGAAATTTATTTCGGAAACGTAATGGGAAAATAAGCCATAAATTTGACGTTTGCAATGAATAACAAAATCGCACAAACATAAATAAATATAAAGTTATTTGAAACTTGTGACGAAAAAATCAAAAAAGGAAGAAATGTGAAATTGCAATTAATGAGTTGTATTGTTGGCCGAATCGGAGCGAATATTTACACATACCTCAAATTCCAATAAGTTGTGAGTAATAAATTGCAGACAATTTTGATTATGAGTACATTATGTTTTCTCGCCACAAGAGAGCTAAATTCAATGGGCTTAGTAAATAAAAATATAGGGGAATGATGAAAAGTAAGTTTACATAAATTACTAACATTTCATTTGCATTTATTTAATTTTTATCTTTTTTTAAGTTTTAATGGACGACCAATACATGGTGAGAAGAAACTTGAATGCCAACAAATTATCCCGACAAAGGGGGCCCAGGAATTAAGTGGCATGGTAGTAACTGCGGATTAAGTTAACACAATTTTACTTCAATTTTCACTTGCTTTTTCGATTATAAGTGAGCTTGAACATTAAATTCGGTTTTTTTATCTTATACATTTATACATCAACGTACCTTTACAATATATATATGTATTTAGAGAATGTATATTTATTGAAGGAAAAATGTTTTAAAATGAATTTTCTTCAATTTGAAAACGCAAGGTTCGGGGTCTGCAGGAGTTAAATCCTAAATTTCCCGATTTGGCAGCTTATAGTGCATGCAAATGCTGTGCAGGTCAAAATTTGAAAATGCAAGCTGTGACACAGACTATGTTTGGCGTTAACTAGTTTCCATGTTGGTGCAAAGTGTACGCACAAAAAGTGCGAGAAACGCTATCTCAAGTGTTTTAAATCGGGTGTAAGCAACATTGCTCATGGTTTGTATTAGTTTATAGCTGTAAATTGTAGAAAAATTCCAGGAAATATTGTGTACTTTCAAACAGCTGAACCAAAACAAAATACTTCAATTTGTGAAAGGTGTGTGAATTAAGTCTTTTTTTTGTTTTTTGCTCCTAATTAATATTTTTAATTCACCAAAGCTTTCAATCAATTGTGTATCATCGATCTGCTCACACGTCATCGTACAATGTCGCTATCATTGATGAAGCGTAAAGTATCAACATGTAATAAAAACTCATCATTATACTGAATATGTTGGTCTAATCGTCAACTGGCATTCGCTAAACATTCACACTTGATACAACACGTCATCTCGGCAAACGGCAGCTGTTAATCTTTGTGTTTTGCTGGTGTTAGTGAAAAAAAGGAAAAAAAAAACAACTTAGGAGACTTTAAATAATTTAAAAAAAAAGGAAGGAGGGAAGAAAAAAGAAGATTTAAGAAAGTAACCAAATTTTTTCAAAATATAAAGGAAGAAAAGAATAGAAGGAAAAATAAGAACGTGAGAAAAAAATTAAAAAGCAATATGCATATTAAACTTTTTTGTCTTTTTGGTTAGATTTTTTTTTGGTGTTCCCCGTGATAACAACCAAAACAACGTCAGCCTATCTCTCTACGGAGACTGGGTCTGATCTTATAACTACTGATAGAGACTGTTTTAAAGATTTTTATATGAATGCCACTGGGCGCACCGAGAGATCGAGGATGGGTTAGAATAAAATTCTTTTATCTCCCAATGGGGAGGCTAACACAAATGTTTCAATTATGTCTAGTAAATAGGCAGTCGACAAAGCCTCTGATTTGGGTGCTAGAGCCAACCCAAAACTACCTGCGGAAGTGCAATTGCGTCGTTTTTGGTCGAAACGTGCGCAAACGCTGAAGGAAATCGCATGAATATCAACTCCGATCTCTTTTACGATTACCGGAAGGGTTTCACCATGTACGGGTTACAAGAACTAAAAGTGATAAGCAGGGGCCGAGCCAAACTGTTTTTCAGCTTTGGTGCCAATGCTAAAAACTTTGTTACATATAACGATATTGTTAAAATTAATTTAAAGACGTACAAACCGAGGTCGTTCAGTGAGAGATTCTGAGTCATTCAAAACATCCCATGCGTATACAGAAATTTGTGGCAAGGGTTTAACGTGGGTTCCTGCCTGAAAGGCTTAACCCCACGGTGGCCCAAGCCACTTTTAAGCGTACTACGCCCCCTGGCGAGTTAGACAATCCCCACAGAGTAGGGGCCTAAACAGCACCAGAGTCCAGAA